GGTAACTTAAGCTAAGTTTAGCCTATAAATTATATTAGTATATACTTAAGTAAAGCTATATATATATATAGAATATACTATAAGTTAAAGGGTAGTAGGTAGTATTAGAAGTAGGCACCTTCTTAAAGTTAAGAGTTACCTTACCTAGTATATTATTAATATCTAAATAAATAACGCCTAATATATATATAACTTATAGCTAGTCTTAAGTACCTTAGTAAGTATCTTAGAGCTAGAGGTATATAGAGGGTTAGCTATAATAAGGCTATACTATATTAAATATTAATATATACTTAGTTATAAATATAGAGATATTATACCTTTTACTTTCTAAATAAAAGTATACTACCCTTAATATAGCTATTAAGCTACTTCTTAGTTAGTTTCTATTAAATATATATAGAGCTTATATTAAGCCTATATTTTATTTATTCCTAATTACTACTTATATTATACTAAGTATCTAGTAGAAGTAAAAGTACTATATACTTACTAGCTTACCTATTTACTACTTTATATAATAAGTTATAAAGTAACTAAGTACTATTAAGCTCCCTTACCTTATACTTAACTTAAACTATAATAGAAAAGTACTAAGTATTATATTAGTATATTTAAAGTAGATAGTAAAATAAATAGTAAATATATAGTATCCTCTAAGTATATATATATATAACTTATATAGTAGAACTAAGTTTTATATTTAGTAGTAAAATAAGGGTTAGTAGCTCTATAAAATATATTAGCTATATATATACTAAAGATATATAAAAGTGAAACTTATATAAGCTCTTCTATCTCTATAGTATATTTACTAATTAAGCTACCTATAAAGCTATAGTTATAAAATATTAGCTATATATATACTAAAAGTAAGCTAGTAATATACCTAAACTTCTAAATAAAGTATATATTATACTACTAGCTAAAATAGATATAGGCCTTTAGAACACTAAATATTATATTAATATATATTAAAACTATATAAAGATTAAGTTATACTTCTAACTAACTACTTACTTATAAGTAGTAGTATTAGTATAAAAGGTGTTCTAAATTAGAATTATATTAGTATATATATAGTATATATAGTTAAAAAGGATATATACTTACTTTATAGTAATACTAATAGATATAATAATAGAACTATATCCTATTAAGTTAGGTTATATATATACTAAGTATATAAGGGATATATAGTAAGTATATTACTAAAGTATTAATTATATTACTTACTAGAGCTAAAGTTAATAATAATAAGGTACTTAGAATTAAGTTAGTATATATTATAGATTAGTTAAGAGGGAGGTAGAAGACTTATATATAACTTATAACTTAGGATAGTTTAATACTATAGTTAGGTATAGCTATATTTATAGTTAGTATATACTAAGACTAACTTAGAAAATTACTTAATTTATTAGTATTATACTCTTTTATTATATTAATAAGTAAAACTAGGATTAAGTTAGTATTATATATATATAAAATATTAGTTTACTTACTACTAAGACCTTCTTAGTTTTAGTTTAAGTTAATAATAAGACCTATTTTAAGTTAGTTTTAGTATATTTTAAGTATAGTATAAGTATATACTAAATATACTATAAAAATAGCTATAATAAAGGTATAAGTTATAAGACCTATTAACCTCTTTATTTATAAAGTCTTTATAAGTAAGTATAATCTATTTTAAGACTTAGTATATACTTAATTCCTACTTAGGATAGTATATATATATAATATTCTTCTAAATAATATATTTTAAGAAAAGAAAAAAAAAATTAATATATAGGCGTAGAAATTTAATATATACTAAACTATAACTAAGGTAGGTTTAGTTATATATAAAGCTACTTCTAGGTATATACCCTAATTAAGTAAGGTTAGTATAGCTACTATACCTTAAATAGTATATATTTATTTTTTATAGGATTATATTAATTACTATATAAGGCTAGATAAGTGTGTATAACGTAGCTTTTTAGTTTTTCTAGCTGCGCTACACCCCCCTAGCTACTTTTTAGATACCCTGGTGTGCACAAATCCGCGCTCCCGCGCTCAGCGCTCCGCTCTAAACTCGGAGAGAAAACAAACATCACGGCCTATGGATACCTTGTGTACAGGCAGGGGGGGAGGGGGATCAGTGACTTTTGGGCTGGGAAGGGTGGTCCAGACAAGATGGCGAAGCTTGGACGAATACCGAGATTGAGAGGCAATGAGGCAATGAGGCTCTCTGTCCTGGCGCTAGACTCTGCCCACCGCCTGTTTCTTTATCGAGGAAAAGTGGATTCTGACTCGGGAGGCTCAGGTCTCGTAAGATGATTGCGATGGGGTGATGATGATGTTATCTCGTTGATTGTCGACTCTGGCGCTGGCCGGTCGGACGAAACCGGTAGACGGCGGTCAATGCCGGGTTGCACTGCTGGGGAGACGCTTGTATTTTGCGATTAGTTTTGATGCGTGCAGAGCTGTAATTTGGCTTTGGTTTCCAAAACGAAAGATAGCAGAGCAACTGGGAGATGTGTTTTGGATCTTTTGGTCTCGGAAAGGAATCATGAAAGGGTGTGTTGTGTTGGTATGGTAGCGTCAATCTGGGCTGAACTCGCAGAAGCGAAAAACAAGAGGTGCAGGGCGGCGGCCATCACGGGTTTCGCTTCGGCAGCCACCTAAGCGAGGCGCTAGTCCCATTGGGGGGTGCCGACGTCCGCCTTGCCTTACGTTACCTCACCTCAGACAGCCACACCCGCTGGAAAGCTTGTCCCGTCCGGAATGCTTCCAGCGTGTCCAGGGCGCCACACTGCCGTCAGGTGGAAGTGGCCGGGTATTGCGCTGGAAATAGCCCTGCAGCGGCTGCAGGAAGGGAGGTCCCTGGAACATGATCCAACGTGTGCCCGACATGTCACCGCGGCCCACCGAGCACGCCGCACCTCAAAGTGCCCCCCACCCATTGCCCATTTCCTCCCGCGTCCATCAACCTTGCTTCGCATCCAGTTCGCTGCCCATCCACACATCGCTCCGGCCGCGAGCACGAGCAATTGGCATCAGCATCAGCCCAGTCGCGCCACCAGAGAGCCCGAACCAGCAGACACATCACACATCATCGCATATCCACGAGCAGGATCTTCGTCGGCCCCTTGCCGCCCGTCCATTGGCCATCTGGCATTCGGCATCTCCATCTCCAGCAATCTCCATCCCAAGTACCTCGCCAACCTACTGAGGTCTCTCGTGCCTGGCCTGCCTGCCTCGTATCCCTGCACACCATCTCCCGTCGAACGCTGCTTCGGTGTGCTTCAACGGATGATTCGATTCATTTAAATATGACCGCCCTCGACATGGCCAACGGGTCTGTTTCCGGACCTTCCTGAACGGCAAGAGCCATTGTTCTACACCACATCTTTACCATTATCACATCTTTGCAAACAATCATCATGTCTGGGCTCACTACCCCGATAGACTCGTTACCCAACGAGGTCAGCCTTGGTTACTGTCTAATACACCGTGACTGCCTTGCTAACCGACCCGCAGATCCTGATCGCGATCCTGTCCTCGTTCGAGTCCCGCGCCCTGCTCCCCATGACCCTCGTCGACCGCCGCTTCAATGCCACAGCCACCACCATCCTACAGCACCGTCTGCTCCACACCGCCGAGATGAAAGGCCACGAGATGATGCTCGAGAGCTACCACCCAAGCGCCAAGCTGACCACCCCCTCCATGTCGTGTCGCTTCCTGGGAGTCGACTTCCTCGACAACCGCACATGGTCCGGCGACGACGACTTGGACCTGGGTGATCTCTCGCAGCTCTACTCGCACTTCCGCCCGGTGGTGTCGGAGGAAACCCGGCGCATGCGGAGGATCTACACCCGCCGCGTGCCCGGCGCCGAGGCCCCGCAGGAAGACGCCGGCGACGAGCCAGTCACCCAAGAGCTCTGTCTGGACGAGGGCGAGCCCTTCACCCAGCTCTGCACAACAACCAGCTTGGTCAAGACTGGCCCGAGACCCGGCGTCTTCGCGAGCCACAGCAACATCGAAGACGGTGTGGTGCGTGTCTGGAGGCATTGGCTCGAGCGCATGGCGGCCAAGTGCGCCATCGCACCGGAGCAGCGGGACCAGAGCACGATCTTGTGGGCCGATGCCACCAAGAACGTAGGACTGCGCTTCCGCGTAACACAGGTCGCACAGGAGCAGGCGCCCATCCTCCACTCGAGAGACGAGGATCCGCCTGTGACCTATTCTCTTCGCTACGAAGGTGAGCTCCCACGACTCAAGCCGTCACATGTGAGAGAAGCAAAGCAGCTGACAATGACATCAGAGTTGCTGGTTCGCACAAGCCAAGTGTTGCTGGCCATGGAGAAGTCAGCAGTGCAGGAGATTGTCGACTCAGGTAAAGCAATCGTCATAGCTTCTTATTGAGGGACATTTCCCTCCGTCCGGCCGATACCGGGCCGGACCGACTATTCACATACACACCACACTTTAGTACTCACCACCGACCAATGCTACCAACAACCTTCACCATCGGAACGAGCTAAAGAAAAGTTTCCGAGCTACCGGTGAAAGGTCCTTGGAGCAAGGGCAGGGCGGCCTTCATCGGCCCAGCCCTGACCTGCGGCCGATCAGCCCCTTCGCTGGGCTGGACCGATTCCCACAGTCTGACCACTTAGTGGCGGCCACCCATGTGACAAAGAACCGATTCAGCCTCAGCAATATACGCAAAACCCATCTTGGACACAGTCTTGATCATTATGCTCACCATTATCTACCATTTGTAGGTTTCGTCATGCAGCTCGACGCAAAGAGCGCCCACGCAATCGAGACCGTTCTGATGGCACCTGCCATGCGCCCCTTCTTCCCCCAGGCCGTCGCTGTCATGTGATGAGATGTCACTTCTCGGGGGATTCGAGCAAACTTTATACAAAGTAGACGGACTAGATTGGAGGCCGACCTAGAGGGCTGGAATGGGGTCGCCGACGGAAGACGAACTCGACGGACGGGGCCGCCGGCGAACGAGACGTCTCACTTGTCGTTCGTGTCGAGGCCGCCAGGCCAGCCATGCAACGCATTACAGCGGCAGGTCACCGTTTCAGCGACTTGGCATTATCATCATGCGTTCGCAGGAATGGAGGATGGCAAAAGTCCACGATTGGGCTGGAAATGCCCCGGGCACACCTAATGGGAATTTGAAAGATTGGCGTTTTGGGAGGAAAATCTAGATTGGGACGGTTGCGCCGCGGAGAAGGCCCTTCGAGGCCTTCGCGGACGGGAATCATTTGGGCGATGGTCAACAGGATATACAGAACATTATAGACCCCCTCCCACGGCGGCCTTTGACGACGCGGGATCGCCATGGCTGCTGAGAGAGCCGAATCAAGCAAGCATATGCCATGAACTCTCGGTCACTGCTTCCACTGGCGTGCCCCATACACATCCGACTGCTCCATTGTATGATCGCCGCTGCGGGGGCCGCTCCTACATTGCCGAAGACGCCGGCCGCGACGCCGTAGGGCGACGAGCTGTAAGGGAATCATGGACATCACGTTTTTTCACTCGTCTATCCGTCGCATCCCGTCGGACGTTACTGACGTGATGTCGAGATCGCCGTCATGGCCCTGCGGTCGTTGGCTGAAGGATCGATGGCCGTAACCTCTGACGAGTGAGCGAAAGCTAATTGGCCACAGTTGAGTCTCAGCAGCGCATGCATCATTCGGCGTCAACAAGTTCCCTGATATCAGAAAGTTCAAAAGTCATTATGATTGAATCGAGTCGATTCCTCGGGCGAGAGGGCACTTTAACTCAAAAAATCGACATCATGCGCTGTACCCGAGATTGTCGCGTTCAAAGCCGTCAAAGTTGTCAGGGACATTGGCTGAAGGTTCCCACGAACCGACAGGGGTCCTTGTTCCTCGGGGGGTTTTCGAAACGGCCTGCAACGGATGGTTCTTCCCCCAACCCACAGCGGGCCAGCCAACCGAGAACCAAGTTGGCCAATCTCTCGACGAACCACGGATCCAGAAGAAACAAAGCGGTCCGGATATTTCGCTTCGTGGGCGGAGCGAGACGTTGTCGCCGTGGCGAAATCAGACGTGTTGGGAGCCCAGGGGAGGGGGCCACGTTGACAGCTCTCATCATGACGGATGACAAGCGCCAAATGCAACGGCAACAGATGGCGGCGACACGAACTCCATCGTGATCAAGACGACTCCTGCAGTAGTGCACACATCCGAGCGTGCAGAGAGAGCCGCGAACTGGCTGGGACGCGCGTCAATGAGCGGTCTTTTCCCCGCTGAATTGCCATTACGAAGATCAGGGAAAGCATCACACTCTCATCACTGTTGATCGTGCACCATGTGGCTGCGCGGCTGTCTTGGACACGGCAAGCCCACGATCGGCTGGCTGAAATAACCTTTTCTTCGACATCGGCCACATTATGCACAAAGCACGTTCGGGCGCAGAAAGCGCCCAGGGTTCGCCCGTTTCCCGCGCTAGCATTGAGCCTCTTCAACCTCTTTATTCGAGAGCCGGCCTCGTGTGGCCAGTCCTTGCACATAATACTGGCCCGCCAGCAAAGTACAATAATCGTCAACTCCTATGGTATACCCAAGAGACAGTCCCAGCATCAGGAAGGTTTCAGCCTCTGGTCCGCCCAGGCCGGCCATGGTCCAAGCACGCATCGGATGGGGGGACCGTTTGACAGGGCTCGACATCCCTGCAAAAGGCCATGTCTCGTCCAATGATGCCCGCGGTGACAGGGGCCGAACTCTTCTGCCCACCTCGCCGCGTGCAGCAATCATGCCTGGGCCGCCAGGGATATTCTCGTAGGCCGCCTGTCGACCACAACTCATGGCCCAGGTCAGGTCCGTGAGGTTGCATCGGGGTCGCTTGGAGCCGTTGAGAGAGAAATCATGGGAGTGACCCGCCCGAGACCTGGCTGGGTTGACATGTTCTTTCTTCTGTGCCGGCCGAGACGTTCGAGTGTGAAATCTTCCCATTCTTTCTTCATCATGCAATAATTTGCAATATTTGCGCCCAAATAGCTGCAGGACGGCAAACAAGGGCTTGGAGCATGTCGGCCCCCGATCTCGTCCGATAGCTAATTCAACAACCATATTCCCTTCTTTGCCCTTCGCTTGGCTCGTTCTTTTCTTCAATCATACTCCACCGGTTGGGCTTGTTTCTTTTTTATCTCGTTTCTTATTTTCTCTTCTCTTCGACGTTTGCTTGGTGTATCACTGCTGGTTCAGTCTTTACCGTGAGCTGGACTCGAAACCTTTTTACGAATACGACATTTTTTTGGACGGCTGAGGAGGGATACACTTGGGTAATACACAGTCTACGAGATGGAGAAGGACGTGGAGAAGGGGGACGGCGAGGTTGCGAGGCCGAGGGAGAGCCATCTTGCCGTACATCCGGGCAACAGAGTGTCGCTGGCGAGGGTATCGATCGGAGGACCGCCGCCGCCGCCGCCGCCAAAAGAGGACGTACCCCGGCCGATGACGAGCTCGACGAGGAGGTTATCGTTCTCGACGACGTACAGCGAGCGCAAGATCAAGTACGGCACGGGGCGGCATTCACAGACGGAGCTGAGTCCTCAGCCTACGGATGATCCGGACGATCCTCTGGTAGGGTTGCCAACCTTGCACTTTCGATTAACAGCACTGACATTTGTGCGCAGAACTGGGCCCAGTGGAAGAAGGAGCTCAACTTTGTCGCGCTCTTGATGACGGCCGGATTGGTGGGCGGAATGAAGACGGCGTACGTCAGCGTCAACAGCGTGCTCGCCGTCCGTTTCAACGTCTCATACACGGCCGTCGCGTCACTCACCGCCGTGCCGCTCGTCCTCTCAGCATTCACAGGCCTGTTCAGCGTCGTGGCATCCAAGATCTGGGGTAAGAGGCCGGTGTATCTCGTCTCGATGGTCCTCATCTTCATCGGCGCGATAGCGAACATGGCAGCGGGGAACAGCTTTGGCGGGTGTATGGCCGGTCGTGTCTTCCAGGGTCTCGGCTGGGGAGCCTTTGACACGCTCATCCTCGGTTCCATCCAGGATACTTACTTTGTACGATGCTTGCCCATCCTTGCTCGGAAGTGAGTGCTGACCATGGCTAGGAACATCAACGCAACGTTCGCATCACGATATATCACATCCTCACCGTCGCGACGACCTGGGGCGCACCCCTCTTTGGCGGTCTCGCCTCCGCAAACACAGGCCGCTTCACCGTGCAATTCGAGATCATCAACGCCTTTCAGTTCATCGCGATCCCGCTTCTTCTCTTCGGCGCACCCGAGACCGCGTTCGAGCGGTGGTTCAGCAGCAGCCCCGCCCCGACTCCCGGAACCGCCACCTCCTCGCCGTGGGCGTCGCAACCGCCGAAGCCGCTCGGAAGACCGAGTGTCGAGGACGCCAAGGCCTATCTGCGCACGATGAAGCCCGTCTCGTTCTCGGGAACGATGGACCTGCGGACGATCTTGCAGGCGCCGAGGGCCTTTGTTGCGCCGACGACGGGACTACTCGTGGTGGTTACCTTCTTGCCATACTGCACTCTCTGGGGCCTTTCGGAGTCGCTGTCCCTTTTGTTCTTCCCCATGCCGTGGATGCTCTCCGAGTCAAACATTGGCGGGCTCATGATCGCGCCGTTCCTCCTGGCCATCACCGCCGTGGTGGCCACAGCCTTCTGGCGCCGGCGCGCGTCGGATTACACGCCATACTGCATCGCATGCACCCTCGCCGCCGGAACCGTCCTCGCATCCTCGGGCATCCTCGCTTTCGGCCTCAAGACGCACGACGTCATGTCCGAGGTCTCCGCCACCGCCGGCGCGTCCTCGAACGTGTTCGCGACCGACGGCGTCGGCACGCACCTCTCGTTCCCGCTCGTCTCGCTGCTGCTGGGTCTACTGGCCGCGGGCGTGGGCACGCTCGACACGGCGATCCGGCCCGTGATCTGGCGCTCGACGCAGTTTACCTCGAGCAACATGAACGTGTGCCTGCGGAACGTGGCGGACATGGACGCCGGGGTGGTGTGCTGGCGGAATTTGCTGGCCGGCGTGTTTGTGATGACGGTGCCCGGGGCGATTGTGATGTGGGCCGGGTTGAAGGCGACGGTGCTCGGGCTGGGGGTCGCGCAGGTGCTCGTGGGCGTGGCGGGGTGCGCGCTGTGGTGGGTTTATGACGAGCGGGTGAGGAGGCTGGATGGGATTGTGATGGGGCTGGTTGATTTGAGTATGTTGAAGAGGACGGGGAGCTTTTTTGATACTGACTGAGTGTTGGTCATGACCTTTTTGATTTCTTTTGTGTTTTTGGGGAGGATGATGATGGTGTAATGACCACGGCCGAACTTTGGAGGGGGGGATGGTGTGTAAGATTTGGAGGGAGGCGAGGGTGAGAGGACAGGACGCAGTATATGAAATGGTTCTGTCCGTTACTTTCTTTTGTTTTTGAGATACCAGGGGATGGATGAGAAAAAGGCAAACTCGGGGATATAAGAGATTGAAAGTGATGAGTGGGAGACGAGAGGGAACGATTGTGAGGGCAAAAAGTAAACATCTAAATAGTCTTTGTGTTCATGTCGTACTTGGACGCGCGAGTAATGAATGCCAACACCACGCTCATTTTTTGTCATTGTGTTTCCGTGTGTTTTGAACATGTGTGTGTTTTTCTTGTCCGGAGATGAAGGGATTTCCTAAAAAGGGGGTGTTTATGTGCTCCCTCCCGCCGGGGAAAAGGCCTCGTCCGCGGATGAAACCAGCCCAAGAAGCACCCTCCGAGCCGGCATCACCACCGCACCTTCGATCCGACCAGGACAACGCTGTCACGACTCCGAGAGTTTAGATACTCACGAAGGGACTCACACAGTTGCTGAAGAGGGGTCTTGAGTCGTGCTGGGTGGTTGGAGTCTCTTGCGGGTTTGTTTGATGATGCGACTTGGTATCTAGAGGATAGCTGACGGGTGAGATTGCATTGGCATTGGAGATGGCTAATTGGCCGTTGTTTAGAGTTGTAACCGTGATCTTCGTCTGATATTCATCTGACTCAAGTCGTCTGATGTCGAGACGGTGGTGATGGAGGGATGCGATTGGGTAGTTGGCTTGGGTTTGATCGTCCGGAGTGAGAAGAGGTTGCGTCGTCTGATGTTTTGGAGTGTGGATGGGATGATTTGGGGGCTGTGGGTTTATGCGTTGTACGGGATGCGTTGAGGACATTGGTGATGATTTCGAAGGTAGGATTAACATTATCGAAGGCTATCTATGATGAAGTTGGTTTACAACATGTCGTTGAAGCCGGTTTACGGATGCATCAAACATGATATTTCATATCAAACAAAGATACTCCGCACACATATCTTGCGGCCCCGAAAACATCGACACCTCATCAAACCGATCCCTCACCGGCCGCGCCTGTATCTCCAGCCGGTGCTCCGTCATCCCGCTCGGGAACCGGTGCGACGTCACCGCAGCCTGCACCTCCAACGACTTGGCCGCCAGCACCTCCGCGTCCTCCCGCGTGACAATGCCCGCCGCCTCCTCGTACTCCGCGCGCAGCACGAACCAGCCCGACGCGTCCTTGCAGTCCGAGATCACGGGCGCCTGCCGCGTCCCGCCGAGCGTGTACGGCGGGTACGCGTAGCTGCTCGGGTCCCAGGACCGCCGGATCAGGTGCCGCAGGCCTTCGGGGTTGTCGAGCTCGCTCTGGCTGTAGCCGCCCCAGAGCGTTGACCGGCCGAGGAGGAGGTCAGCGCGCGTGGGGACATAGACCCAGGCTTCTGGCTGGGGAGGCAGCGAGAGTGTTGAGGAGGAGAAGGATGTTTCCGGGGTGGAGCCGGGGCGGCCGAGGCCGAAGAAGACGCGGAAGTCGGGGTAGTGCCATTTCCGGGAGTGGATCTCGCCGCCGTTCTTGCGGGTGAAGGTGACCCAGTCGCCGTCGGCTTTCTGCTTGATGCTGACCATGCCCACGAAACCCGGCTGGGCTTTTGTGCAGAAGGTGGATGTCTCGGCGAACCAGAGGTGCGCTGGGAATCCCGTGGTCACGCTGACGCGGTAGCCCGTGGGGGATTTGCAGGAGATGGAGAAGGTGTGGTCGGCCTCGCGGATGACGGACCGCGACTGCGGCGGGGAGAGGTGCCGCGGGATGTGGACCTCGCGCTTGTCTGCGATCTTGGGGTTCGTGCCGCGCGACCACTCGAGGATCCAGCGGCGGCGGCGGACGAAGGCGTCGGGCGTGCGGAAGAGCTCGATGCAGACGTAGAGGTGGTGGTTGATGTCCGGCGGGGGGTGGGAGGGGGCGAGGTAGTAGTGGTTCAGCTTCATGACGAAGGCGCGGCGTTCTTGGGGGAGGAGGGCCTCTGGAACAAGGGAGGGGAGGCTGGATGTGCTGCGGCCCATTGTTGCGTCTGAGTCGCCTGATTCTGAAGGCGTGCTGTCGTCAGGGGCGAGGCGCTCGAGGTGTTGACGAGAGATGAGCATCACGTCCGGCTTGAAGTGGATGCCCTTGTTGGTGATGCGGATCTCTGTTTGCTGGATGGCTGCGTCCTGGATCGGGACAAGACATGAGCCGTCTGCAAACTCGTCGGGGGACTGGGCGAGTAGGCCGCGGAAGGCCTGGGTGTCGTCGTCGGACGAGTCCCAGGCGAAGAGGGAGAGGTCGGTGCTGTTCTGGAGGATGGCTTCTTGCAGGCGCAGAAACGCTTTGCGGCCCTCGCTGTAGATCAGCGGCAGGTTGACGTCGAAGATGCCGAAGAGGCTGTACGCCCTGTCTTCCTCGCGCTTCGTCCGGCGGCGCGCGGCCCAGGACATGCGCCGCGCGACGGGGACTTCGTACACCGCGGCCGGGTCCTCGAGGACTTCCTGGTCGATGCCGGTGATGCTCGCGAGGAGGGATTGCAGGTGCGCCTTGGAGCCGATGTCGTTCCAGTTCTTGTCGAAGAAGGTGATGTCCCGTGACGCGACGAGCTCCTGGAGCGTCCAGCCGCGCGAGAACCAGCGGCACTGCCCGAGCTCCGCGGCCGACAGTTGCTCCGCGGGCCGGAAGAGGTTGCTGCGAGGCTGCGAGGTTGATGGGGGGTAGTCAGAGAGGTACGCGTAGCAGATGTGCGCGTCGTTGTACCAGCGGAACATGGAGTTGATGGACTCGGTCAGCTCGGCGCTGCTGCTCTTGTCGATGCAGCAGGTGTCGACCCAGGCCCACTCGATGCCGGCGGCGCGGGCGATCTCGCAGGTCTTCCATATCTTGGTGAAGCCGGGCTTCTTTGACGCGTGGACGAAGTCGGCCATGTCGTGGAACGAGACCTCGCCGTCGGACCAGGTGTGGGAGAGGATGGCGTACGGCAGCAAGGGGGGCCCGCCCTGGAACTCGGCGAGCTTGAGCGTTGTGGTGTTGATTAGCCACATTTTGGGTGATTTCGTATCATGAGATATCGCATGGCAATAGCTCAGTTCCGAGATGTGATTCGGAAGACTGTTTTATGTTCAAGTCTTGCTGAAGATGAGGCTGTGCTACTGATGTTGAGGCTTGTCAGCGCTGGGTGGGATCGCGCGGGACGGATGCAGGTAATCCTTGCTGCTTTGGCGTCGTCTGCCCCAGTGAAGTTGACGAACCGGTGTCGGGCATCGCTGCATCGGAGACTTTTGTTTGATTGGACAGAATGATTTTCGACTTTGGATAGCACCGCGGTGTGGCTTCGGTGAGTGTTCTAAGGTTATTACAGAAATCCTTCAACTCCCGTTTCTCCAGCATCAAGACCAATCATGTTGTTGTACATTTGGATCTTTATGATTTGATTGTCAGCTCTACGCGTTTGGAAAAGACGTACTAGCTCAACTTGCCCCTTAGCTAATAGCCAAGGCGACCGTGATGCAGCTGTGCCTAGGCATAAACAAGGTACGAGGTCATTGTTTACTCTGAAAATGCTGAAGAACATGCTGATGATATGGAGTTTCCCTATGGACGACGGTCCCAACGATCACTCATCTCAAACACAGTTTCCACACCTCCCGACGTGATCTCAACCGTATTCCGCACCTTGCCCCCTTGCAATATAATCGCCTCACTCCCGTCGTCGCTGATGTGGCCCGATGCTCTGGCCGCAGCACGCGAAGTAGTCCCGCTCTGGAACTCGCCCTCAGATTTGAGATACTTGCTGCCCGAGCGGTAGTTTCGCGCGTAGTAAGCCCTGGCGTCCCGGAGGAGAACACGCAGCACTGGGATGGACGCGGCTATGATGGTGGCGTTGGGCTCGGCGTGGATCCAGATGCTCAGAACCGCGAGTCGACGGGAGACTGCAGAGGCGAGGTCAGCCTTTACCTGTCTGAAGGAAGACGGGGCGTTTGAGAAACTCACATTCAGGTCCAACGGCTCTTGCAGCCCAGTAGGATTCGACTGCCTTTACAATTGCTACACTTCCAGCTCTACACGGCGGTTGATGCATCAGTACATGCATGCAAGGCAGATGTCTCTCTTTTTTTGACTCACAAGCAACCAATTCCCATGGCAATCGCCACCCCCGCCTTTTCACGTTTGATCATCTGCAACCCCCAGACAACCTTGATTGGGACCATGGCCAAGATGAAGTCGGTAAGTGCTGATATAACTGTAATAGCGTCAGCTTCCAATTTCCCAATCTTTCCACGAGACATGTTTCCTTACTCGACCCGACCATGTTCATCCAAAGCCCACTATCAGCAGACCAACATGGCTGAAACGTATGCGGATCCGGCGCGCCGCAATTCGCCCTCCACACCAGCACCGAGTGCGCAACACACATGGCGTCCATCACGAACGCAACCACGATGACCAGCCACCGCGCCCACCCGCTCGTAAACCTGCACAGCGTGAGTGCGAACGAGGTCTTGCTAAAGGCCAGCGAGAGCTTCATCGCCGTGTCGGACGCGAGGTTCGCCGGCATGATCACTGGGCCCGTCAACGTCGTGACGAGGTACCCCCTCCGGTAGATGACCGTCTGCAATATGTCCGCCAGGATCAGGAACATCCAGCCGATGAGCAGGAGGTAGTCGTCCCACCACATCTTCCGCGTCCGCGCGGCCCGGCAGTAGAGGCGCAGAGCCAGGAAGATGGTCGACACCGAGGCCATGGTCCAGGCTGATGAGAGGACCATCGTGGCTACCGAGGGGTCCCCGGAGGGCATCGGGTACATGATTGCACCTTCCGACATTGTGGCGGCGTCCTTGAGCAGAAGTTGGCGAGACACATTTCGGCCACTTCAGTCTCCTCAGAGAGAGGACACGCCATATTTGTACGGGGTACGGCTTGTGCAGCAAGACTCCATCTTTGACAGGTTTGACACCTTACGTAAGGCCTGTCATGGCTTGTCAGGCGTGATGTAGATGGAGTCTCAACTTTCTTTTTCCTCTTTCTCGGGTTTTGGACCCAGAAATAATCCCATGCACGCTGTCGGCACAATGTGTGAGGTTGCGCGGCGGCACAATGATGAATCCGGTTGGATTGGATGATTATTGATACGGGCTTAAAGCCCCACATGTGTCTTACAGGTGAAAGGTTGTCTAGCAGGCTGCAGTATCGCGACGAGGATTCTCGTGGGGGCTTTGATGCGAGAAGACCCACGGCGGTCGCTGCAGGAGCGGCACAACCTGCGGGAAATAGAAATGATGCTGCGTGTAATGTTTTCGGAATGTTGACCGCCGACCCCTTCATCAAAAGAAGGTTTATCGGTCATGATGTCTTGTGATACCCCGAGAATTAGCAACCTCGGTTGTTCGCGAGGTAAGAATCAACAGGACATGGGCTGTGAAGTTTATGATATTGAATCTTAGATTGAGTGTTGTGGACTCCACGGAATCCACGCAACCATATCCATGTTTTCTCGACACCCGATATCATGGCTGTCAAGCAGCTTACAGGACCAGCAAAATCAAACGCGCCATTCCATAAAATTCAGATAAAATAGCCTGCACGAAGGAATGCATGATCAAGACTGCTGACCCTCTTCCCAGCCCTCCACGCCGCTCCGGGTGGGTCTCGACCCCGGTCCGACCCCGGCAACGCCCTACCAGAGCAGCACCATCTCCGGGCTCGGAGGAGCCGGACAAGAGCAGCAACCAATAGCACACACGGGCAGAACCAACAAAGTCCGACTGAACCCATTCCCCCACCAAGAAAACGATTCATGAACATCGTTCGATCTTGGTTGCCCAGACTCAGGGGTGCCGAGGGCCTTTTGACCTTGTAGGGCGACGGGAGGGACAGGCGCTCGAAGGCAAGACATTAGTAGGCCGTTGAAGAGGGCCGCATATGCAGCAACTGAAATATTGGCGGAAGAGTATTCCGGCAGCCGGCTTGCTGAGTGAAACCCCACCTATCGCATCTTGCCATTGACGTGATTTTTTCCCGGGCAATGGAGCGGGGGTTGTTCGTATGCGAATGCGACGAAACGTCGACGGGCTTTTGCCAATGAAGATTTGCAGCACGCGAGAGTGGGATTGTAAGCCACGCGAAGTTTCCCAACTCTTCCTAGCGAGGACCTGTGGATCTCGATTCCGTCTGACTGCATGTTTGCATGGATCCCGCGCCCGAACAACAAGAACGGTTGGCGCCCCCAACAACGGTCATAAAAGGCTTGTTGCCTCTTTTTATCCTAGAAATCTCCGTGACCGAGTGCGTGTGAATAGTTTCCAAGTGAACACACGACGATCATGGCCCCCCAACTCCCTCGGCTGTCCGCTCTTGCGACAGTCGTCCTCGCCAGTCTCGCGTCTGCAACCCCTCGGCTGGTCGCTCGGCAAGCCAATGAGACCCTGGGCAGAGGTGTAAGAACCCCCACCACCGCATTGCTTTTGACAAAAGAAATGCTCAAACCCTCTTCTTTCTGCAGTGCGCTGCTCTCGTCCACGCCGGCCTCTCACCGCAACTGTATTTCTCGGCCGATAGCGAGTACGTCGAGACGCTTGAGTCGTACTATGACGGGGCCGTCCAAAAGGTGACCCCGCGGTGCGTGTTCAAGCCGGAGAATACGGCGCAGGTCGCGACCGCTCTGAGAGCCCTCAGCGCTGAGGGCGGGAGCTGTTGGAGTGTGGCGATTCGCAGCGGGGGGCACTCGCCTGTCCCGAACAATAATGCGCAAAACGGTGTGACGATTGATCTTGGCCGGCTTGATTCGGTCACGTACGGGGAGGATGAACATGCTGAGGTAGGGTATTCGAAGAAGAAACTTGGTTTTTGATGTGTTTGTTTCAATTGTCAGAGGCTGACCAGGTGATAGAGAGGTCGCGGGATTGCCTCGATCGGCTCCGGTGCCAGATGGGGCGATGTCTACACTGAGCTTGAAAAACAGAGCGTTATGGTCACTGGGGGACGGGAAGGTCATGTTGGCGTTGGAGGGTTTCTTCTCGGCGGAGGTGAGTTTCCTGGTTGAAACATTAAGGCACCAGCTCACATGTTCAAAAGGCTTTGCTTGGCAGTCTGGCAAGCACGGGATGGCCTGCGACAACGTCGTCAGCTACGAGGTTGGTGTTCAAGAGAAAGACGCCATTACATCGGCTTTGCTGATGCATTCACAGGTTGTTCTCGCAAACGGCACAGTGCTCATCGCCACATCTACCAATCACCACGACCTCTGGCGGTCTCTCAAGGGCGGCTTGAACAACCTCGGTCTTGTCACGCGATTCGACATGCGAACGTTCCCTTCCCAAGACGCCTACGGTGGCATCACGGCATTTTCCTACGACAAGGCTGAAGCGGTCTTGGAAAAGCTCGACGCAATGATCCGAAGGAACCCAGAGAACCCCGCAGAGAACGGCTTCGTCTCCTTGTCTTGGAACCCTGCCACGGGTCCCTCTACGGCATTCGTCCTCGCCAACGTGGATGGTGTAGAGAATTCGACATCATTCGTGGGACTCGAAGAAATGAACCCCGTCGTCGACACGCGCTCTCATGCTCCGATCTCGAGTCTCGTGAAACAGCTCGAGGGAGGCTTGGGGCTCTACAATGTGTGGTTCACACTGACATTCCACTCCTCCATGAGCATGGTCCGGAAGGTCATTGAAGTTTTTGACAACCTCATCGCAGAGTTTGAGAACACCCTCGGCGAAAACGACCGGATCATCTTCGTTCTGACACCCCTGCCGACGAACTATGCGGGACACGGCGAGAATGTTCTCGGTATAAACGATGCGGGTTACGAACCAAGCATGGTACTACAGGCCGAAGCTCTGCTAACCACCCCGGAGCACAAGGAGCTGTTGAGAAAAGCTCTTCAGCGCGCAGTGGAAAGCACAATCTTTCTGTGGTCTGCTACTACGCACCAGCGTACAAGGTGGAAGTACCTCAACTATGCTAACCCTCTTCAAGACGTGTGGTGGACCATTGGAGAGGACCGGTTCCTTTTGAATCGCACGGCACAGGCATATGATCCCACTGGCTTCTTTCAGACTCGGGTTTCGGGGGGATTCAAAATATCACAATCTGACTAGGCTCATCGAAGGCGACGTGCCCAAACATCAATAATTGTAATCAAACATGTGTATTACCAAGAACTCATATACAACACTAAATCGCAACGATACCGCACTGGCGTCTGAGACCAGAGGGCTTGATACCCTACATGTCATCGCTCACTGGTACAGCTCAGGATAGGCCGCCTTGATCATGTCGGAACCCTTCTCGCCGACCATGTAGACCGCGTTTTGGATGCGGCAGTCGGGGATTACAGGGATGACGGAGGCATCAATCACACGCAGGCCTTTGACACCAAAGACTTGCAGCTTGCCGTCGACGACACCCTGGTCGATGCTGGGAGACATGCGAGTGGTTCCACAGGGGTCTAGTGAAGAGTACACAGTCAGTCTCACAATTCTCAACACAGTCTAAGAAGCGTGTCACAAGTGATAAATGAGGGGCTTCACTCACGAAAGCCAGTCTGAGAGCGCTCCAGGATCATCTTAATCATGGCCTCGTCGGAGGAGCGCGGCATGGGCCAAGGGTAGTCGCCCTCGATGATGTCCTTCATGCCCTCGCCGTTCATGATGATGTCGTCAACGAAGCGGACGCCCTCGCGCATCGCGATGAGGTCGAGTCCGTTGGAGAAGAAGTTGAGGTTGATCTTGGCCTGCTCAAGGGGGTCGGCGGAGTTGAGCGTTACGGTGCCGTTCTTGGAGAGGGGGCGGAGGAGATCGACGATGACGGTGAAGTAGTCGCCCTTCGGGTGCGTGGGAATGTGCCACTGGAAGGCGTCGCAGAACATGGGCTATGTTCAAGTCTCGTTAGCTTCGGCTGACGCTGACGTTTCCGGTTACGGGAGATACTTACAACAAAGTCCATCTCGAAATGGGGCTGTCCTCCTGTTGCGAAGGATAAGGCGCAATTGCTGCTTAGCAATTGTGGTTCCACTTTTGCAACAGTTATGAGCCCTTTGACTCTGCTAGTTATCGTGTTATTTTTGAGTAGTAAAGACCTGCGTTTGAATCCTATCTCTGGCGTACCTAGAAGGGATTTTTTCCCCTAGTAGAGAGGTTATAGAGGGACTACGAAGTTTAGATCCAGTAGACGAGTTATCTCTAAGATCTAGGGGGTGTGTTACGAAGGATAAGGCGTAATTGCTGCTTAGCAATTGTGGTTCCACTTTTGCAACACCTCCAGGTCCAAAGGGTTCGACACCGCCATTCTTCGCGAGGTACTCGCTGTATTCCGCGCAATTCTTGAGGCGCTCGTCGATACGGGGGAGGCCTACGAGCTCCAGCAGGCCGCTGCTCAGGGGACCCTTGTTCTTCCAGTGGTAGGCGGGGACAGCGCCTTCGTGCTCGGGGCCAGCGCGGAGGAGGTGCTGGTCGAGACCGAAGCCGTCCTTGAGCTTGAAGACGTGGGGCATGATGGGATGGTCGAGAAGGTTCTGGCCGACGTTGGGGGAGTCGATGAGGGTCGTGATGCCGAGGGACTCGAGCTCCTCCTTGGGTCCAATGCCAGACAGCATGAGGAGCTTGGGCGACTCGTAGACACCGGACGAGACGATGACTTCGTACTTGGCGCGAAAAGTGAGGTCCTCGCCAGTGGGACCGAGGACTTCGACGCCAACGGCCTTGCCGTTCTCAATGATGAGGCGCTTGGAGCGAGTCTGGCCAATGACGGTGACGTTCTTCTTGCCCTCAATATAGCGCCAGCTGGAACAGCGTTTTTCCTTGTAGATGGAGCTGACGGCCGTAG